TTTGGGGTAAAAATCTGTTCATATTAATTCCCTAATAAGCATAATAATTCATAATTTTTTGGTTCTAATCACATTTCAATTAAACTTGGAGACATAGATTTTCTGTTACATTGCGCAGACCTCATTAGTTTTACACTCAAATCTGGTCATATTAATTTTCTGATTTGCATAATTAGTTTTCAGCTAAGTAATTTCGAATTATATTTAATGTGTCTCCAATACTCTCAGCACATGGGAGTTCTTTCTAAGCTTTCTTTGATTTCAATAGTGGTTTCTTCAATTAGATGTAGCATGAATATACTGTTACTTCGTTTATCATTGTATTTGCCTACCTAATGTTAATACATAACAATGAAATGTATAACATATCATGTTATAGAAATAGTCAGTTACCTTTAGTATTGTATTGTATGAACACCAGATATAAACTAATAAGTAAAAACATTGTACAACATATAAACCGATAACATCCAGTCAATACAATGTAACAGATATAAGCTGGTAACTTCTAGTAAATACAATGTACAAAAAAATTAACTGGTAAAACCAAGTAATTACAATGTGCCAAACATAAACTGGTATAATTTTGTTAATACAATATAACAGATATAAACTGGACTTAGTTAATACAATATTCGGATATAAACTGGTAACATTTAGTTAATACAAGCAGATATAGACTGGTAACAACCAGTAAATATGATGAAAAAGTCTGACATTTTAAATACCATATTTATATAAAACAGAATTACGATTCTTTAACACGAAACGTACAAAATTACTAATACATATGACAAGACATACAGATGAGGTGATCGATGATATGAAATGTTAGTTGGAATAATTATAAGGTGATTGCACAATTCCAGTTTATGCATAACGTGCATCGTAAATACATCATGTTTACCCAAATTTATACAAAGGACATCACATATCCAGGAGTTACGGTTATGCAAGCCAGACGCTTACCTGAGAACATTTGGTGTTGTGTCAAATAGGGATACAAATTAAATAATCCAAAAATGCCATGTGACACCCGCGAATTGTCGATTTCCATTCCTTAACCAGCGTGGATGACTAGTTAATGTGACAGTCATTGCTGCTATGTGGTATAACTTTGTAGTTTAATAAGCTTGGTAGATCTTGTGCTATATCACCTCACGTAAACTGGTTACATCCATTTAAAAGCACCCCCTTTTACTCTCTTGTCGATGTTTCCTATCAATAATGTTTTCACCATCAAATCAAGACAAATCGGTTAAACTCTTTATAACTGATTTTGTCAAACTTTTAAAACTTTACCCCAGCAGCAAATGTATTTTTATAAAACTTTGTTAAAACGTTTTCAATGATTTTTGTGATCATATATCACATAATTGCTGAAACGTGTTTTCATGAAAACATTGAGCAACCCAACTGTTTAATATTCTGTTTGAACATGTAAATATGTTAAAATCATTTTGTATTCAATTTCAATAAAAAGATAAGCATTTTACTATAATTTCGAAAATTTTGAAAAAAATATTTATAAGACAAAATAAATCGTGTTTATGGATACTATTATAAGTCAGTTGAAAAAAAATCGTTGTTATAATATAGATAATGGCCCGCAATTAATTTGAATAATATAGCACTGCCACGAATTTTCGCATCTTTTCCCAAATCGAATATTGTTTTCCCGTGTATAACATGAAGTATTTTACATAACCAGACTTGCACGACGAACAAGCCACATTAAAGGTATTGTGTGTAGTGTCGATTGGTATTACAGAAGTTAACGATTAGTTCACTTCAGACTTATTCTGAATAGGGCCTTACAATTTGACTTCCGTGCGTGAGACATGAAGTAACCATTAACAATTTACGGTAAATTGTAGTTGTTATACATTTATTGAATACAATCCGACGTTTTGGTCAGTGGCTCTTCTTCGTATATATATGCAGCAATTTTTATTTCGCAAAAGCATTTTAATGTAACAGCTTTTATTTTGCGATTTGATTCGAAACGTGGTCATTTTATCAAATGTTCTTTCAAATTGAAACAAAGGCAAGCAAAATTGTAATAATATATTACATACACCCAATACTTTATTTACTATTACACTATTGCACATTTAGAAAAACAAACAAAAACATTCTATGTGAATCTTTGAAAACACAGTATATTATTATATGTACAATGAATAAAAATAGGAGTATAACAACAAGGATCACCTGATTTGCCAAAAATGTGGGAATACTGAACCATGCTGTTAAATGAATATTTTCATTCATGTCGCATTATACTAGTAATCAATTTTGCACCAATCGTAACGAAGCGACACTTTAGGCTATTTACTCGATTATTGTACAAAAAAAAAGCTCACTCTATGGCATGGAGAACATGTAGAATTTGTTTCGATTACTTGCATGGTAACATTACAAACCCCACAATACGATTATCTGTTGTGGCAGAATGATCTGCCAGTGTAGGCGTACAGAGTATAACAATTCGTTACCAGAGAAGCCCTGGTCTTTAAACATAACATTCGCTATATATATGGAGGAAAACGTGTATATTTTGATATGAATGTTGCAGACCAAACATTGGATTATGATAAACTTTAAAATATACTACTAAAATGAAAACACTTAAACGCATATGTTATGACTATTCTTATATACACCAAAACAATCTGTGGGCATGCGTATTGACAAATGCCAGTTTCATCGAACAAATACTGATAGTTCATGGTAATCCCAATGTGTTCAACAATATGAAGTGTAAAACAATATTATTAAAAATTACAATGTTTCTAACCATAATGTATCTTTAAACATATGTTTAAAAAATGGTTATGATTATTCTGACGTTCAATGAATCCCCTTCCATGATATTGTTACTATGGTAACATAGCTGATGTCTTCTTGACATGCCATGCTCTACAATAAACTAGTCAGTCTATGATGCTATAAATATGAACAAATGGATTAAAAATGTCTGTTGCAATTACAGTTCACACTTGGCAAATACAACAACACCATTTTTTTTCTGTCAACAAAAGCACCTTTCTAGCAGACGAGAGTGAATCCGCTCCAATGGATCAACAAAATGGCGACGACAACGCGAATGCTCTCTTTTGAGACAAAGCAGGAAGTTCTGATAAGCTGTACAAGCCACCGATGAGGGCGATCTCCAATGCATTGCTGCTTCATCTGCGCACTGCATTCGTAAACGAGAGTATCCACAAAGACAATCTAGAAGACAGATACGCAATGTAAGGAAATTGTTAGAATCTTCAGTGACCGAAATTACAGTTGGATACAGTATGATGTGAGCCAGCGAAGAAGAAACTACTCAATCTCAGCACACTGTGACATATTCCGGCTAATTGAACGACAATTAGACAATATTGTTGTGAAATGTTGTTCGACAACGTCAGTAGCGCTTCAGGCTCGTTCGAAATTCGAACATGACACGCACTATTAAAGGCACATGTTTGTTCAAAATTATTGTTGAAAGCGCATTTTTGTTGTTCAGGGTACGAACGTCGAACATTTACCTGCAAACACTTGCAAACACACAACACCTGTGGTGTACCAAATGGATATTTAGAGGATTGTCATATAACAACCAGCCACGAACAAGGACGATAAAATGGCGGAAAATTATGACGAAATCGAACAAAATTACCACGTGACACAGAAATCGCAAATGGTCTATTGTTATAATCATTTTCATTGACGTTAGTCCCTTCAAGGTAACAAGATCACGGTTACCGACTATGTACTATCATAAATATATTTCCCTCCTCCGGCTTCTTATTATGATTAATCGCCGTGTCAGTTTTTTTTAACATTTTTTTTTTAAATTGAACATCGGGCTGGAAAAATCGACGAAATAAATTACTATTTATTCTAAACTGAAACAGGGGGGCAGTCGCTATCGCGTTGCTATGTTCTGTTGTGAGGCACAGCTTTCAATTAGCTCAAACAAATAATAAAGTTCAAAATAATAAGAACTTCGTATACTGTATGGCTCCCGATGGATTCTGGGTGTCCTCTACGTACCTTCCGGTTCCGGTTGAACAGGATCACATAGTCCATATCCGTCCAGTCCTTCTAATGTAGACTCCAATAACGCCGAGGTGCTGAGTTTGCTGAGCACTGCCTGCACATCGTCTTTATCTCGTTCCTCGTCCAGGGCATCATTCTCCTGAACGAACGCCATTGTACTGTTATAGTCAATGCAATTAATGTCACACGACATTTCAGCCAAACAACTTTTCCATCCCTGGGAAAAAGCGAAATATTAACATATCACTTATTTTTCACATGGAAGAATGCACACATCACGAACAATATACATTCTATCACCGAAAGAGAATGCCAGTTGTAGTTGTCTCTGGGTTTCTATGTTTCTACACTGGTATGATTTGATCAAATTATCTCCACTCCTTACCATGAAATACTGGCATATTTGAGCAATGGCTGACAACTTCCAATTTTCTTCCCCAGTCAGTGAACCAGACGCCCTCTGGTGGCAGGTCAGTAATTGATCCAATGTACATTCCTAATAAAAAATCGCGTTGTGAAGTTGTATGAAATACAAGCTTTTGCTAATAAAACAGTGTATCACGTACGTACAAACTTCTACTTGGGCGAATTTGTTCTAGGGTTCTGCAATTCATGGGAGAATATATGGGACATGTCTGAATAACAAGGTTCGATGCACATGGTAACTTAACTTTCAACTAATCGCATTGCTCGATGGGTATCATTACTGATGCGTTCAACCAATCGCATAGCTCGATGGGTATCGTTACTGATGCGTTCAACCAATCGCATTGCTCGATGGGTATCGTTACTGATGCGTTCAACCAATATCATTGCTCGATGGCTATCGTTACTGATGCGTTCAACCAATCGCATTGCTCGATGGCTATCGTTACTGATCGAGAACGTGTTTAAGAAGTTATATGCTATCTTCATACTTTCTTTATAATAGGGTTATTAGAATACCGGAAATAAAACAAAATTATCGGGTAACAAATACTATAAGTAATTTCGTGGGAAAATAGACAAATTTACATTTTCATTGTTTTTATAGTGAAATTACTTCTTGTATTGAAAAATAGTAAT